CTTGTTGGTTGTAGCTACATTTGATTAATTTCTTCATGATTTTCATGTTTTGTAATTAATTGTATGCTACGATATACCTTGCCAAAACTTGATAACTTATAGGTTTCATGTTGTTTATTGTTAAACATAATAAACTTGCAATGCCCTTTATTCGACAGTATTTTGGGTTTCTATTTATATTATACCCAGATGTTTATATTAACTGAGTATGAGTTCAAGGGAATTGCTAAGCTTAAAAAGCAAATCTCTATCAAGAACTAACATTTGGACGTCACTTTATGTCACAAGTTGATAGAAACTGGACGTCAACTCAATGATAAAATGGTTTAATGGTCACTGTGAAGTTTGAATTCTATAGATTTGATCCTTAGAAAAGTTATGGATGGTCACTATTAAGGGTTCTTTACTAAGGTGAAACAATTATCTAGTTAGTTTGATGCATTTTTGTATCAATCATCAATTCACATCCCTTTATCAAGCTTAAGCAACTAGTAATACATAGTTGATGCAATAACTATTGTAAAGAACTAATCAACCAGATCAAGGGATTCATGTCTATTTATATGATTAGCATAGTTGTATCAAGTATTTCAATTGCACAACACAAACCAGTAATTTTTAATAAAAGTTTCATACTACTATTTATGATTAAAGTAGCATAGAGAAGTAGAAAATCAAACAGCAATAACTAATTATACCCTGTATTGTGTTACGTAACTCCTAAAATTCAATTCAATATTGAATGGTGTAAGACTAACAGAATTTCATGATATCTAGTAAATAAACTTATGTACAGAAAGAAGATGAGAAGGGTAAACATTGTAACTCTTAGGTGTCTATTGTTAATTTACAATCTTATTATGTATTCTTCACTGTAAGGTTTCTTTAGATGTACCAACTATTTTAACAATTTAATTCATGAGTCGACTTAAGCTAAACCACCACTGAGAACCTGGAAGTATAGGACAGCTGTTTCTTCCTAATATGGGATGCTTCAGCAGTGCATATTCACAATCCAAATACAGGGCTTGAACCCAAGACATTAGAACTCGCGTTTGAGACAGTTATCCACTTCAGACAATGGATGAAATGTTGTACAAGAACATGAACCGATTGAAATTAGACATTAAAACCACTAGGTGCCATTTCAACTGTCTATAGGTTTAAAAATACTGAGGGTCTTGGGTTCGAGTCCCGCTTACGGTATCATGGATGCGCACTCCTGAGTAATCCCATACTAGGATGAAACCGGCTGTCTAGTACTTCTAGGTTTTCAATGGTAATCTAGCTTTGATTGACTCATGAATCCATCTGTTAAAATTATTAAAATCTTCACAAATCCTCATTCTAGTATTAATTATTGTTGAGTTTTTTACTGTTCATCAAGAAATTATCGATTTCTTATAAATAGGTCACATAGTTTTGTATTAAAATACTGCATAATTATAGAGTTATTCATTGTTGTGGGTTACGGTTTTATATTTCACTGGTCTTATTGAACTTATCCCTGTTACTCCTCATGGAGAGGCATAGGCCACCCACCAGCACTCTCTATCTAACCTTGTCCTGGTACGATTTTATATGAAATTGTGTGTAAATGAGGAGACACAAGCCTTGAATGTTTGTACACTTAAACCTCATAGTGTTCATTTACCTACTGATCCCCAGTAATATGATCATAAATGAAGAAAAAAAACGAGTAATGAATATATTTAATGTTTATTGGTTCAGTCTGATGTATTATATCCTATCTTGTTAGATGCTTTCAAGATATGTATTTGCTATATGAACATGTACAATTCCACAGCACAAATGACAGTTCAAATACATTCTCACAATTTTACTATTTATAAGGTTCTAATTTGTGTATAAGTACATACTTACATAATTAAAACCATTACTCCTCTTGAGTTATAGGCTGAAAAGAGATAGTCTTCAGTCTAATCTGTTATGACCACTCTTTTCCATTTATTTTCATCTTCGATTCAATTCTTTAATTGTCTACTTTCAACTTCCAATGTAATGTGTTTTTTGTCCTACCTTCTTCTCTTGAGGAACCTAAGTTAGAGTTTGATTTGTGATTTAGCTTGACAATTTCTGTAAATAGTGCTCTATTCACTTTCAGAATCTTCTCTTAATTTTCTTTACAATTGGAGGATGATTTGCTTTTGCCACAGGAATTTATTGCTTATAGTGTCTGACCAATGTCTATGAGTAATATTCATAGTTTTTATTGATTTACCTCGGATTCAGAGTTCGACAGTTTACATTTCTAACTTTAACCAATTTTCGATAAAGCGCTTAAATCATCTAGGTATTTTACTTTTTGATTAGTTTTTACAGTTCTAATAGAATAAACTGTACGATTCGGCCGTGTCGGATGTGAGACAGCCTTCATCGGTGATACAATGTATCACAAACTGACTGAAATCAGAAATATGAAGATTTGTCAATTCAAATCCATAACCTAACAATGCCAACTCTGATTCTTAGCGAGTTTGTAGGCACACAATTTTAAAGAGTTCCATATCGGACGAGAACCAGTGATTTCAACGTGGTATGGTGTACCAACAGTCTCTGCATCAGTAGGCCTCAACATAAACAAGGGGAAAACCAAGGTCTTCAAATACAACACGGACAACACCAACACAATCATTCTTGAAGGGAAAACTCTGGAAGATGTGGAATCCTTCACATACCTGGGAATTATCATCGATGAACAAGGAAAATCAGATGCAGACATGAAGGCGAGGATTCGCAAAGCACTGGTCGCATTCCTACAATTGAAGAACATATGAAACTCAAAACAACTGTTTATCAACCTATATCAAAGTGGGAGTCTGCAATACAAACGTCAAGACAGTCCTATTGTATGGAGATGAAACATGGAGAACTACAACAACCATCATCAAGAATGTACAAGTATTTATAAATAGTTGTCTACGCAAGATACTCAACATCCATTGACGGGATACTATCAGCAACAGCCTTCTGTGGGAGGGAACAAACCAGCTTCCAGCTGAAGAGGAAATTATGAAAAAATGATGGAGATGGATAGGACAGACATTACACAAATCATCAAACTGCATCAACAGGCAAACCATAACTTGGAATCCTGAGTGAAAACGGAAAAGAGGAAGGTCAAAGAATGCAGCACTTCGGGAAATGGAATCAGATCTGAAAAGGATGAGTAACAACTGGAAAGGACTGCCCAGGACAGGTTTGAATAAAGAATGTTGTTGGGCTGCTTATGTTTCTCCATGAGGAGTAACAGGCATATGTAACCAAGTAACATCATAACAAAACAACTGCTCATAATTCTTTAGATTTCAATAGTTCACCAGACAATCACAGTCCATTAAAATATGTTAGTACACATATAAATTTTGGACTATAAATTACCTAACTAACGGGAAAAATACTCAATTACAGCATCTTTATTTTTCAGTGTATGAAAGTATGCATATGATTATCTGAATGAGTCCCGTAAATCACTTTACTTTGCTCATAAGACATTTGAAGTCTAACAATGAATGAAAGATTACAAATGAGTCACTACTGTAGAGACCCAATTATGCTTTTAATCAAGGTTTAAGCCTATACATTTTTGTCTAGATGAGATGAACATGTCTATATGTATCAATAATTTGTGTTCTTATTCATTTGGTTCTTCATTTACAGCTTTCTAGACATTTCTCAATATTCTCACTAATGTAGTTGCTTGAGTAAACATGTAGGAGGTGTGTGCATCTTAAATCAAACGTCATGCATCGTACTTGTATTTATGTATGAGAATAGCAGCTAGTACTGACCATTTCTTGTTTTTAATCTGAAATATAATTTTCAAATTCTATCCATTCACTCCATTTTTGGTCTTTATGCTTGCCTCATAACTTATTAATCCACTTTCTTATTTCCCATAGTTGAGATCATGAGTCAATTAAAGATAGACCACCATGGAAAACCTGTAAGCAGTAAACAGCCGTTTTCTGCTATTGTGGAACTCCTCAGCGGTGCACATTCATAATCCCGCCTCGTGATTTTCGAACTCACAACGCTTAACCTCTAGACCACTGAGCCAGTGTTAATGTCTAACTTCAACTAATCCACGAAATTGAGTCACACATCCACCATCTCACAACAGATCCGACTGAACTCCACTGGTCACAGTTTTTCACTAGAACTCCAAGAAATACCTCTTGGAGACAGTCACTAATGAACGCATGATGATTATAATCAGAAGGGGTTTTTGTGGATATTATAGTAATTTCAATAGTTGAGATCATGGATCCATTGAAGCTAGATCACCATAGAAAACTTTTCTTATTTGTTTACCACACTTCAAGATCACTCTTTTCAGTATCCAAACTTTCATTCTTCATTTTCTTTCCTTCTACCGAGTTGTTTAATTCATTCAAGTTTCCTTTTTGGCTTTTTTTTACCCCCTTCTGATCAATTTCTCATTGATGGAATGAAATCAACATTCGAAATGTTTTACAACTCTATCACATTCAATCATTCAATCCAGAATGATGATGATGTCGATGGTTATCTTCGACGATGGTGAACTTCAAAGCAAAACAAAAAAGAAAGGAGACGACGATTCAACAAGAAAGAATGAGACAATATGAAAGAAAAAAGACAGACTGAAAGTCATCAAGGCAACAAGTAACTTTGTTCTATTTATTGAGATTATATTACACTATTCTGATTGGTTTATTTATTTATCATAACCATTTATGTATCTATATATATAGACAGTAGTATATATAGATAGATATTATTGTCTAAAATTCTAGAGAGATTTCAAACCACTTAGCAACAAATTCAATCGTCAACATTAACCCTTAACATTAAATCATACTCAATATAATAATTTATATGTATGAAATTTTATCCTAATAGATGAATGATGCAATTGAGTTGACTTAAATTTAGCACCGAAAAGTCTACTTTATCAATTTAAGTGTACATCTAGATTTATTTAAAAGAAGAGAAGAATGAAAAAAACTTTTTGTTGCTATGGTAAAACAAAGAAATGGTAAGTTGAGTGTTATTTTTTTTTGTGTGTGAAATGATTTCATATTTTGTTTTAGTAACTTAAATGTTCGATCATATATTGAGGGTAGGGGAGATTATTAAGTTGTTTGTTTGTTTGTTTTGATTGAGATCATGAACCGATTAATGTTAGATCATCATCGAATCCTGTGAGCAGGATCGTCGATCCTCACTGTTGTAGAGTTCTACGATAGGATGAAATGACTGTCCAATGCTTTTAGGTTTGCAACTGGTGATCTAACATCAATCGGTTTATGATCTCAGTCAAAAGACAAACAAGAATAATTTTTGTTGAAATTGTATTGTCGAAGACGGATTACGTAATCATGAAACATTCGTTGGTTTCTAAGCAACACTGTCAGGATAAACTTCAGATAGAAGTGTGATTAATATTAGAATATTTCCATACATATATCTTATAACTGTTTTGTTAACAATTAATATGACTAGTAATTGTCAACACTAGTCCTGTCATAATTGAATTGATTGTCATCCCACCTGAACAAATTTATAGCCTTACTATTGTCTACAGTAATGTTGGGTCTGTTTCGACAATTTCATTGTTTTTCGATAATTTAGACATAGTTTTTGAAGAAAGTACTTTACAGATGCATGATACATTCAACATTCAGATGACGAGTCCTGAATAGGACAAAATGCGCGTTTTGCATTCCATTGCTAGCCATCATCCATCTTTGCTTAGAATATTTGTGACTTAAGATAATATCACAGTAAACCGTATACCATGCACATATGGCAATAAGAGACGGATCCATTGCAGTCCTAAACATCAATGGGAAGATTCAAATGAACAATACCAAATGAATGTACTTTTAGTGGTTACATGAATGAAGATATCAATGGGAAGAGTTTTGATAAGTTTTCAACAAACTATTTAATCGGAATTCTATAGTCAATGCTTAGACATTTATCTTACATGTATGATATCATAAATTCTAGCGTCAAATGTAGACATTCAAATTTATCACAAATTTCCGCTACTATTGTTTTGTTATCAAACTTACTTATGTCTGTTACTCCTGATAGAGGAGCGTAGGCCGCTTACCATCATTCTCTATCTAACTTCGCCTGTTACTGTTTAAGGGCTACTGCCAGTCACAAACCCGGGTAAAGGAGGAGAGTTAGGCATGGGGTCGAAAACCTCATCACATAGAAATAATTAAAAAAAACACCAACCGGAATAAACAATTTGTTACCAAACATATCTAACTAATCCAATTTTAACCGATAGTTGGTTTTCATCAGGAATTCTTTTACTGTTGGTCATTGTCGGAGTTTCGAGGAGACGCTGTTTATGAGTATCATACTATGACAGAATAGTTGTCCAGTGCTATCTAGTTTTCAATGGTATTCTGGTATACTGTGTGTCTTTGAAAAGTAACTTGATCTTACTTACGCGTAGGCCACTCATCAGCACTCGCCATCTAACTCAGTCATGGACCAGTCCTTTCCATTTCTTTCCAGTTGTTATTGATTCTTTTCATGTTTGCTTCTAATTCCCGACGCAATGCGTTCTTTTGTTTTCCTCTTTTCCGTTTCCCTTCCGGGTTTCCAAGTAGGCGTTTGCCTAGTGATGCAGTTTGATTATATCTACAGTATACGTCTTATCCATCTCTAATACCGATTTCCTAAAATTCTCTTTAATTGGAAGCTTGTTTTTTCTCTCCCACAGTAGGCTGTTACTGATGATATCCGGCCAATGAACATCAAGTATCTTGCTTTATTTATTTTTTATTTATTTGGACACATAAATATCGGTACAAGGGGGAACCGAATACATATGCACCACACAAGTCACTTGATTTGTGTGTGGACTGTGAAACTGCCTGGGTTCCCATACTGAAACTGGTGGTTCCCTTAGGGAAAGACGCCCGAAGCCTTCGACTTAAAGGTCTGATCCACAAGGCAGTGGAGCAATGTCAGGAGATGTAATCCTATGGTAGCCGGTCACCAATAATTGTCAGTCAGCCAGTTAGTAACAATGTAAAACTTCGTATGTACGTACATCAGTTCGAGTTGCCATACCACATTAGCACAGAGATACAATTGTTGATTCAACTCCCATAGTGGTAGAGGTAGTAAAAATAAAAGCAGAAATCGGAAAGATTAGGGTTTGAAGATGTTATTCAAGGAGTATAATCTAGTGAGATAAATTTGGAAAGAGGAAAAAACAAAGGGACATGAAGAATTCAGAAGATTAGTATTCAGGAGAATACACAGAGTGGATGCAACTGCGCACACCATTGCAAACGACTTTCAGCCATGTCATTCAATTTCTCTAACAATCGGTTGCTATCATCTCACCAATAATTGGTTCATACTCCATTTATTCCTTTAGGATCCTGAAACCCACTTACATCATTGGTTTGAAATGAAGGTTTTCCAACTCCTCTAGGTGAAGATCCTCTATATCCACCAACACAGTTAAAGCGTTGAACATTCGCTATTTATCCTCTCAAGTTTTAGTAGTTCTTGAAATTTCAACTCTATAGAGTAGAATGATGCTTACTTGTTATATGAATACAAGATATGTATATTTGATTTTCTATTTTCTATTTCAGGTTATTTCATTTCATATCATTTATCTTATGTTTAACTTTACTATTATATCGTACATTCGAATGGTTAAAAGCTTATCATTTCTTCATTGATGATTATTATCATATGAATGGATTCATTTACTATTTACAAAATTCCTATTTCAATAAACAGAATATGAATAATAAAGATCATTATCATCACCATCATTATCATCCTCATCAGCAGCAGCAGCTGCAGGAGCACCAGCATCATTATCAGGATAATATGATACATAGTGATAATACAACATTAATGGAACCAAATGTGATAATTAGATTATGTAATATTAATCCAATGAGGTAATTTGAGATTTATTACAGTTGAATGTTCTGTTCAGTTTTGTTCTTTTAATTCCATTTAAACACATATGGTATATGTCAGAAAAGGGTTTTTGTGGATATTCACAGTAATTTGAATAGTTAAGATTATGAGTCAATTGAATCTAGGTCACTATAGAAAACTTGGAAGCATTGTTTGATGGCCGTATTGTCCTATTGTGGGACACTTCACCGGTGTGCATCAACGATCCTGACTCATGATATTCGAACTCAAGACCTATCGGTCTCTCAAGCGAACGCTTAACCTATAGACTATTGAACTTGCATTCAACGGTATTAATGTTCAAGTCCAATCTATCCACGAAATTTCCCCACTGTCCATTATTATCTTCAGTGAGTTACTATCTCACAGTAGACCTGGCTGAACTCCACTGATCACTGCTTCTCACTAGAATTTCAAAAAATATCTGTTGAAGCCAGTCACTAGTGAGCGTATGCTTACTAATATCAAAAGGGTCTAGAGGTTAAGCGCTCGCACGCGAGATTGATGGGTCCTTGGTTCGAATCTTGAGAAGCGAGACCATGGATGCGTACTGCTGAAGAGTCTCACAATAGGACAAAACGGCCATCCAGTGCTTCAAGATTTTCCATGGTGGTCTAGCTTCAACCGACTTATGATCTCAACTATTAAAAAAAAATGTAATATATGTAAAGAAAGTTTGTCAATTAATAGTTACTTACTTGGCTAACTCTCCCGGTCTTCCATATTACACTAACCTTTCATGTACCTAAATTAATAGTTGCTCTGATTGTCAGAAGAGGAATTAGCCTCGTGACTTTCAAAGGGATTCGTCTTTCTTTATCAGAAGCCATAACTCTTCTTCCTAGAGTAGAGTTTAAATGGATTTTAGTGTTGTTTTTTTAGCGAGTCAGTTTTCTATAGGATGGGGTCACTAACCTCATGCTCAACCCTCTTTCTTTTATCTGGGCTTGAGATCGGCAGTAACTCCAGTTGGAGTCAGTTGGTAGTTATGTAATGTTATTTATGGTATTGAATACAAATAGTAAAGAGTAAGATGAATCATTTGATGCTTGGTTTCAGATTTACTTGAATATAACAGATAATACAATAAATCATCATTGTCTTTACGAAAGAATATTCTAGAACATTGAATAACATAATATCAACGATGTTATATGGTTGAAACTAAGTATTCATAAGTCCATTCAATCTAAATCACCATGAAAAACCTGAAATCATTGAACGACTGTCTCATCCTAATATATGACTCCTTAGTAGTTCAAATCCATGATCTCACTCCACAAGATTCAAACTCAGGATCTATCGATCTTGTACGTGATAGCTTAAACTCTAAACTACTGTAATATCATTTGTATATAAGAAAATCTCTTTCATATATTTTATGCTTCATTATTTCAACAATCATTTACTTTTCATTATATTCTTAATATAGACTACATTATTATTACATTTTTATAAAGTTTTAGTTCTTCCATTATAATTAAATCATATCTGTCAACTGAATCCAAATATGATTCTTGTCGAAAATTGATTGATCACTGGGTGGTGCACTATATATTGACTCACCTAGACTGGTGGCCACATTGCAACATGGTCGATAGCATTCGATCTGCACTAAATAAGGACTTGACACACATGACATTGATCACCACCCAGTGATCAATCAATTGTGATTACATTTCAGTCCTACAGGAGGTCGGTCGCGGGCCCGGATAGCCCAGTAGTAATTCATTGAATAATCAACGATTGTATAGTTCTTCCTTTTTTCTTCTTTCTATTCCGTCATTATATCATCTTTTCTTTTCTCTCATTTCTTCTCGTGGTTTATTTACAATGGATTAATCATTACTTAGTGATCAATATTATAAATATCCAGTTCTTTTAAGTGCTCATCAAATTCTATCGATCAAAATGTAATTTGATCCCTAATCTAAGTAACTTTACATAGTGTAGTGTTTGCATCAAGTACATTAGGGAGAATCAGTTCGATCAAAATTATAAATACACCTTGTTGATAACAATACACATTCACAATCCCGCAACCAACGGACTCGAACCCGAAACCTTTGGTTTCATGAGAGAACTTTTAAACTTTAAACTATTCATATAGCAAATTGTATTTCATAATATGATGTTTATTATTGTGTAATACAATCGATTTTGTTTACACCTGATAGTAGATAATAGTTAAGAGTACATGAGTGTGAATGTACCATCACCTTATCCACTTAACCTTTTGAAGTGAACGTTATTGAGTTTGGATTTCGGAGTAAACATCAACTTTAGGAAGCAGGTACATCCAACTAACCAGTCTGAAATAGGATGAAACGTGAGTCCTACATTCTGCTACTAACCACTATCATTCTTTGCTAATAATGCTTATGACTTACTGGTAATTTTCGAAAGAATCCGCACAGGATACATATATGACAATAAGAGACTGATCAATGGTAGTCCTAAACGTCAGTGGGAAGATACAAGCTGAACAATACAAAAATACAATTTTATGAACGAAGAAGCACAGGACGGCCGTTTCGTCCTAGTATGGGACTTCTCAGCAGTACGCATCCACGATCCCGCACCCCGCGAGATTCGAACCCAGGACTTATCAGTCCTGTTGTTTGTTATCAAATCAAATCGTTAATGTTGGGGCTGACTAATCTGAAAATGTTAACTTGAATCAGTTTATAAGTGAAATGAAATTGTGCGATATATGATCAAAATAAATATAGTCAACATGTGATGAAAGTGAGAGAATAATGGAATAGAAATCAGAGATTACGTAATATGTAGAATAATATGAATTAGGTCAGATATAGTAGATTTGGGGGTGCATACTGAATGAAGTCCTCTAAAAGGTTATCAAGTGTAATGATAATAATAATAGTAAGATAAGTTTGGGACATAAAACTAACATTAATCAAATTACGTCACCATATTATGAAATTGATTATAAACTAGTTGGCCAGAATAAAAGGAGTGGCTAAACATATTTTATTTGGATGTAAAGCTCTGGCTTTTTGATCCGAATAGCAATCGCTTCAGCCGTCTGTAGGATTCACAGTCTGACGGAATTAGGTAGACTGCTGTTAGTACGATAGATTATTGCAAAAGATTTCTCTATGTCGGCTGTATGTCCTATCTGAACTAGATGGTCTAAGATGAACCTGTTAACAGTTTTAAATACACCTTTTGCTTAACCACACAAGGAATCCAGGACGTGCGTTTCGTCCTGTTTGGGACTCGTCAGTCGGATGTACCTTCATCCCAGAGTTGATGTTCACTTTCGGACTCGAACTCAGTAGCATTCGCTTCAAATGCCATCGCGTTATCCACTCAGCTACTGTATGCGCATATGCCAATAAACAGACTGATCAATTGCAGTCTTAAACGTAACAGGGGGAGATACAATCAAAAATAACAAGTGATGTTGTATACACCTTTTCTTTATTATTTTTTTTCCTTCTATTTTTTAACTAGTTACTAAACTGACAACAATTTATATCATAAAAATTACTGTCAAAAACTTCTTATTATGAATATGAATCTAAAATATATTTATATATTCTTAACTAGTTGAATTGAATCAGGAAGGAGTAATATTAATCATATTTAGATGAATCAAAAAAACAAAACAAAACAACAAACATCTGAAAAACACTGAAAATCGATTGAATGAAACTCTAGTCAAAACACTTATAACTATTGAGAATAGTTAAGACAAATCTTATGTGAAATGGGTAAAAATGAATATGGAGGACATTAGTAGTATTGGCAGTTGTACTAGGAATAGTGGTAGTAGTAGTACTAGTGATAGTCGTAGTAGTAGTGGCAGTCGTAGTAGTGGTAGTTGTATTAGTAGTCGTAGTGTAGTGAGGGAGAGCACAGGTGAAGACAACCGAATTACACTATATACAACATTAAAATTACTTGGTAAAATAGAAAAACAATACTATGATAGTATAGGGGTTGTAGAGATTATTAAGTTTTTGATTGAGATCATGAACCGATTGATGTTAGACCATCACAATTGAAAACCTGGAAGCACTGGACGGCTGTCTCGTCCTATTGTGGGACTCCTCAGTGGCAGTGCGCATCCACGACCCCGCTCGCGGGACTCAAACCCAGGGTCTTCGGTCTCGCGCGCGAACGCTTAACCAATTGGACCACTGAGCAGGCACCCAATGGTGATAGTTTCTAACACCAACCAATCCACGAAATTGCGCGACCAACTTCCGTTGTACTGAGGTAGATACCTGTCTCTACCCGACAAGGATTAGCTCCACTGATCACGGCTTCTCACTAGAACTCCGAGAATTCCCTCACGAAGCTAGTCACTAGTGAGCACATGTTACTAGTATAGGGTTGTGGAGATTATTAAGTTTTTGATTGAGATCATGAACCGATTGATACTTAATTTGCAAAATGTTCAATAATTGTCTGGAACTTCGTTGTTCTCGCATTTCCATACTAATTGCTTTCTATTCCCGCTCTTCTTTTCTTGATCTTCCCCATCTTCTGCTACCAAACATTACATTCCTGACTCGCGTCATATACTACTTATATCAATATAAGTAGCACGCATCACACTCGTCCCCCCTTTAAAGGAGTCGTTCTTGTGGTGTTTCATGCTCGCCATGCCACATTCTTCGTCTCTGAACTTCTGTGCTAAGCTCTCCATCAAAATGTCGAGTCTGCGGCCCGCCGACCTCCATAGCTCCGTCGACCTGCCGGGGTGACAACATCCGAAATCCACCCGGCAACTGGGACGCTTAACACCCGTGCTCCACCGGCCTAGCTGATCCATCCACATCCGCCCAGCAGCCTCACGTCCCACAGCTCCTCCCCGTTGACGGCACCCGCTGCAGCCAACGCCGCACCACCAGAACACTCCACTCGACCATACCTTCCTGCACCAGACTGCCCCAACTAGCACCTCAGCTCCAGGCCCGCAAAGGCATCTGCAGAATAGCACCCTTCTCCTCGCATGATCGGCAGCGACATGAAATGTAGTGAACAGAACACGGGTGGGGACAATCGAATTATATTTAGCACAAAATTGCAGAGTCACTTGGTAAAATAGAAAAACCATACTATAATACCATATTACAAGACATTACATTCCCGACTCGCGTCATATACTACTGATATCAATATATGTAGCACGCACCACAGTAGTAGTAGTAGTCGTAGTCGGAGTAGTAGTAGTAATCGTAGTAATAGTGGCAGTAGTGGTAGTAGTAGTTGTAGTACGAGTAGTATTTGTTGTTACACAACAAAGAGTACATAATCCAATTGTCATATATTCATGATAAAACAAAAGAAAAGATTTAAAAGGTTTTGTAAATCTTTTGTTTTAATGTTTAAATAAATGAATTTAATTGACTCGTTCGTTTAATAAACATTGAAAGATAATAGAATGAAAATATAATCAAACTAAACTATAAGCAGATAGAAATAAAGATTAATTCTAACCTTTTTAATAGTTGAACTCACTAATCAGTTAAAGCTAGACCACCATGGAAAACCTGAAAGTACTGAAAGGCCGTTTTGTCTTAGTGTAGAACTCCTCAGCAGTGTGTATTTACGATACCGCCCCCCGCGAGATTTGAACCTAGAACCTATCAGTATCGCGCGTGAGCGCTTAACCACTAGATCAGTGAGCCGGCACCTAACACTGTTAGTGTCTAACTTCAACCAATCCACGAAATTGCGCGACCATCTTCCATTTTACTGAGGTAGATATCTGTCTCTACCCAACACGGATTAGCTCCACTAGTCACTGCTTCTCACTATAAATCCAAGAATTCTCTCACGAAACTATTCACTAGTTAGCACATGAATTCGAATCCCACGAGCGAGATTGTGGTGCGCACTGCTGAGGATTTGCACAATAGAACGAAACGGCTGTACAATACTTCCAGGTTTTCAATCTTTGGTCTAAAATCAACCGGTTCAAGATCTTCTCAAGATATGTAATGATAATTTTTTCCTCTTAAATGTTTGTTATCAATCTAATTAATGTAAATCATTCTTTTTCAAATAACTATTAGCTTCAACAACTTCAAATGTAGTTTTAATGAAGTAAATTGTTATTATCGGGGATACAAAAACAAAATCAATAATGAATAAGAAATTAACTCATTCATTTTAAGCTTCATACATTCATGCATAATAAACAAAAAGATTTAATAAGTAAACAATACATTGAAACTCATTTAAATATCTGGTTTACAACAAAAAAGGGTCACTAGTAAATCAAAGTCTACTAGTGTTACATTCTTTCATTTGGATAGTTTATTCGTGAAGTATCAACTTCATTGACTAAGAGAAAGCATTTGATAGAGTGGATAGGACAATATTATAGAGGATTCTACGACACTATAGAATTCTTATGGTGGATTCAACAGTATAATTGTGCATGGCGGGCAGCTCACAGACGCGTTCGAAGTAAAAATTGGTGTCAAGCAAGGTTGCTTAATCTCACCCTTTCTCGTTCTCCTGGTGATCCGCTGGATCATGAAGACGTCAACATCTGGGGGTGGGGAGTATGGGATACAGTGGTCATCTAGGATGCAGCTGGACGAATAAGTCTTCACAGATAAAGATGAAGACCAAAGAACACATTACACCGAGAAACTGAGACAGATATGAGAAGAATGAACAGCGATTGGATAGAAATAGAAGGGAAGGCCGAGAAAAGATTAGGTTGTAAAATGCTGGTTGGCTTCATATGCTCCATTGGGGTAGCAGGTGTGAGTAAGTAAGTAAGCTATTATTGTTCTACAACAGCATCATCAGCGTTCATTTCAGATGTCAATGAAAGATTCACAATCAGTCCATTTGAATAAGAGCAAGCAATCCATCCTAATGTCAAGCAGTGATTGTTCTTGAGTTGAATTCCAAGTAACGTAGAACTGATGACAGTGTTTTTGGAGTTATCCCAATAAAGTTTCACAATTTTATCATAATGATGTTTCTTCTATAATACCATACAAAAGCATGTATTATCCCACAAACTAAATGTGTTTTGTTTTCAAGACTGACCCCTTTTTCCTTCTGATCAGTTTGCTTCTATTATTAATCGATACCAAATAAATGAACCATGGTTGAAAGAGAACACAATTATGATTGATTTACTATTTGCTTTTTAATCCATTGAATAGTTATTAATTAAGATAGGTCCTGGGTTCGAATCTCGCGAAGTGGGATGATGGATGCGTACTGCTGAGGAGTCCCATTCTAGGATCAAACGGCTGGTTTTCCATCATGGTCTAACTTCAATTGACTCATGATCTCAACTATTAAACTTATTACAATCTCCACAAACCCCCCCCCATTGATTAAAATTAAAATACCTTTATTGATTTGTTTTTTTTTCTTTCTTTTGTTGGTATTCTCTTAGATTATCCGCATTATTTTCATTATTCAATGGAAGTGATATTTATACTTATTTAATTACAAAATATGGTAAAATTGATATGATCAATTTATTAAATGATACATATTTAACACCAGAACAAATTAAACATATGGCTCATCCACTTTCAACAACATTGAAAAGGTAAATGATTTCTATTTCTATTTTTATTAGAGATTAATGATCATTACTTAGTCACTTACTACTGTTACTCGAAATGGAGCATAGGCCATTGACCAACATTTTCCAACCCATACTCTGTTCTAGGCTTTCATTTCTAGTTCTATCCAATTATTGTTCATTCTTCTTATGTCTGTCTTCATTTCTCAGTGTAATGTGTTTTATGGTCTTCCTCTTCTTCTTTGACATTGAGGATTCCATGTGAGGGATTGCCTTGTGATACGGTTGGATGCTTTCTTCAATGTGTTTCCTATCCACTTCCAGCGCTTCTTTCTAATTTCTTCCTCCACTAGAATCTTGTTGCTGATAGTGTCTGGCCAACTGTTCCGAAGTATTTTGCATAGACAACTGTTAACAAACACTTGTAACTTGTGGATGATGGGTTTCATAGTTCTCCAAGTTTCCGCCCAATACAGTAGAATTGTCTCGACATTTGTATTGAAAATTTTGACTTTGGTATTGTTTGATTATAATCTATGAATGAATCAATCAGATTTAACATAATAGGTCTTACATTTGGGTGCGAAATTCATTCAATCATTTAGCTAAATAGATATCGATTCATGATGAAAACCCTCCTTTGGTCCTAGTTATTAGATGAACACCATCAAGATCACTTAAGCGTCATTCAAACATCGTCCATAAACTATAGTCACACCAGTGAAGTTTATGCCTTCAGATGAACTCCATAGTAAAGATTTCATTCTTCTATTTATCAAACATATACACATCAAATAAACAGGAAAAGCTTGAAATCACACACATGTTTAATATTGGAAACAGATATATAACATTCTATACATTTGACTGATAGAATAATTGACTTTACTATTGAATAAATCATCTAGAATAAGAACAAGTTGACCAACTGAAAAGGTAGATGGTTAAGCCTTATGTTTAACAGAGTGTAATCTTATTTACACGCGTTAGTCAATACAAAAATCTCAGGAAGGTTATTATAATTAAAATTAACTGAATGAAATCACGTTTCAAGTAAAGATGGATAGTGGCCAGCAGAGGAATTCAGTTTGATGAGCGTTTTGTCCCAATTTAGGACTCGTCAACTGAATGTAACTGCATCCCAGAGTTGATGTTCACTCCGGGACTGCAACCCAGCACCGTTCGCTTCAAATGCCATCGCGTACTCCACTTAGATATTGAGTCTTCACAGCTACCTGTTTATGCAATGGGGTGAAGTTCAAATTCATTTGGTATTAGTTAGTTGTATCTTCTCACTGTTATTTACGACTGCAATTGATCAGTTTCATGTTGAGATATGTGCATGGTGTACGGATTGCCTCGATATTGCCTAAAGTAACAGTTTTTCCTAGCAAAGATAGATAATGGCTAGCAGTGGAATCCAGGACGCTTGAAGCGAACGGTACTGGGTTCGAGTTCCGGATTGAACATCAACTCTGCGATGCAGGTACATCCAGTTGACGAGTCCCAACTAGGACGAAACGCGTGTACTGGATTCCGCTGATAGCTACTATTCATCTTTGCTTTAAAAGCTTGTGACTTTAGGCAATACCGAGGCAATCCTCACAGGATACATATATGCCAACATGTGATTGATCAATTGTAGTCCTAAAAAACAATAAGAAGATACAAGTAAAACAACACCAGGTGAATTGGAATTAAATAAAACTGGATACTTATAATCAAGTTAGATTATTATTTAATAGAATCGCGAATCTTATGTTTTCAATAGAACAGTTTTTTTTAATATTTAATTGTCAATTCATAAGATAAATAGTAAAATTGAAAGTATCTATACAGTCGATCTGCTAAATAATAGTTGAATTCATGACTCAATCGAAGCTAGACCATGATAGCAAATCTTTGAGCACTGGACGGACTTTTCATCCTAGTATGTGACTTCTCAATAGTGTGCATCCATGACCTCACGAGATTCGAAGCCAGAGCCTATTGATCTCGCACACGAACGCTTGACTTCTAGATCACTGACTGATTCGTCACTCAACGGTATTAATGTCTAACTTCAATCAATCCACAAAGTTACGCCGTCTAGTGCTTTGACGTTTTTCATAGTGTTCTAGCTTAAATTGACTCATGAATTCGACTATTAAGATTATTATAATACCTACAAAACCCCCTCTCTGAATAATAACTGTTTCCAAGTGTATTATTTCATTAAGTGGGATTTCTTGCCGAAGATTTCACTTAAGGTCTCAACTTATGCACTAACTCATGTTTCATTTTGTATAAAAAAACATTTATTAAGTAAAGTTCCATCTATAATTTATGACATGACTTTCGTCAAATTGATGTGACTACATTGTTCATCGATAGGAATCATGCTGTATTATCATAAGTTACCAAATGTATAATCTGAAGGGAACCAGCTGACTTTTAATTCTTCAAATCTTTCTGTGATGAATAAAGGTATAACATTTTAATGAGTGATATCATACAGTGTCAGTTATTCATTCATTATTTATCTAACCACATAAATATTGGTATAAAGGGGTACCGAATACTTATGCGCCATATAAATCATTCGATTTGTGTGAGGACTGAGATACTGTCTGGTCGCTTAAACTGAACCAATTGATTTCCTTAGAGGGCCATTCCACGACCCTTTCACTTAGAGGTCTAATCCTCAAAGCAGTGAAGCAAAGTTAGTAGATGCAGTATCATGGTAGCCGAGAATCAACAATTGGTTCATTTGTTCTCTTAGGATGATGAAGTCCATATGAACCATTTGTTTGAAATACGAGTTTTCCGATTTTCCTAGGTAGACTCTTCGTCATCACCAACTCGATTAAATTGTCGGAAATTCGCTTTTTGTCCTCTCAATTTCGTAAAGAACATTCCATCCACGAGAAATCAGTGAGTAGGACGTCTCAGTCAGTGACTGTATACGCGTCTTCATCTGATTACATGTCGAAAGGCAGAGCAAACTCTCCTCACATTCTTATAAAACTCATTCACAAACAAGCGAATCGTCAACATTCTTTCAACATTTCAAATCAACAAAATAAATTGTATACTTGATGCTGATAAATTTTTTTCTTCTATAACACATTTAATTAACATTAGAGTTGTAAAATAACTATTTATAATGGTCAATAATATAAGTGTATATTAATTGAAACATTGAAATGTATTCGCTTTCTTCTTAGCCCCCCTCCCTCACTTCAACTCCCACCCCACTTCCAACCCTCACCCTTTTCTCTTGTCATCCCCCCAGAAACAAAAATAAAAATGATTTGTTACTAGATTTATGATATAAATTTTTTTTTAAATGCATAAATCACCTACATGAAACAATTTGATTGTTTTAAAAATCAATAAAAATTAGTCAAGGGGAAACGTTTAATTAATTTTACAAAGGAAAAAAGGAAAAAAACATTTTTGAAAGAAAAATTGTTTTTTCCTTTTTTTCTCTTCCTTTTTTTTCTTTTTTTATATATAAATATTTTAATAGTTAAGATTATGAGTCAATTGAAAATAGACTACTATGGAAAACCTTGAAGTATTGTTTGATGATTGTTTCGTACTATTGTGAGATTCCTCAGGAGTGTATATCCATGATCCTAACTCACAAAATTTGAATCCAAGAACTAACAATCTCGTTAGGGAGCGCTTAACCTCTAGCCTCTTATGATATTAATCAATATATGCGTATTAATGACTGGCTTCAAGAGGTATTTCTTGGAGTTCTAGTGAGAAACAATGAATAGTGAAGTTCAACCGAGTCTGTTGTGAGATAGTAACTCATTGATGACAATAATGGATGTGTTGCCCAATTTTGTGGATTGGTTGAAGTAAGATATTAACACCGTTGAATGTCGATTCAATGATCTAGTGTTTAAGCGTTCGCGTGCGAGAATGATAGGTCCTGGGTTCGTGGATGCGTATTGCGGAGGAGTTCCACAATAGAACGAAACGGTCATCCAGTGCTCTCTGGCTTTCTATGGTGGTCTAGTTTTAATTGACTCATGATCCTAACTGATAAAATTACTATAATATCCACGAAACTCCTTCAAATATATTTAACTTCACGTGTAAGTCAAATAAATTTTATTGTAAATTTTGTGAATGTACACGAATCAGTTTCCTCCGTCAGTCAGTCAGTCAGTCAGCCAGCAACAACGTAGAACTTCGTATGTACATACATCAGTTCAAGTTTTTAGACCATATTAACACATAGATACGATTGTCCATTCAAATCATATAGTGGTAGACGTTTTTGATGAAGTTTTGTTCTCTGAGTTGGACCACCAAACCATCCAGCTCAGAAAACAAAACTCCATCAAAATCATCCACCTGAGCTACAAATCTTCTCAACCATCACAAATGATAGGGTTAGTAGATTAGTAAATTGGTGTTAGAGAATGTTATTTAAGAAGTATAATCAAGTGAAGTATATTTGGAAAGAGAAAAATAAATGGGAGACATGAATTATTTAGAAGATTAGAATTTGGGAGAACACAAAGAGTGGATGCACCTGTGTCATTACAAACGATTTTCAGCCATGTCATTCAAGGTCTCTAACCATCGATTTCTATCGTCTCGTGGATTCCAACCAGGCGCTTCTAATAATCTCATGTTAAATCTACACGACAACCTGAACACAAGAGAAAAAGTGTAAAATAAAAAAAAGAACGCTTTACTCCAAGGTAACCTTATATACAGCAAATAGAGAGTATTTGAAACATTTCAGATGGCCTTGAGCTTGTGGAACTCTCTGGAATCATGTTATATACGATGGGAGGTTACGTAACTATCCAGTCAAAAATATGGCAAGTGATTCTTCATTTTTTTAGATGTTTCTGAGATACTCCTATTCAATGCGAATTAGATTAAATGTTTCTCAGTGTTTTCAGAGCCCCCGCCCCATGGCTTTTTTTCTAGGGATAGTCTAGGTGTTTCCAACATTTTATGATCATAAAATGATCAGATCAAAGGATGAATTTATATTTTCAAGCAGTTTTGTT